TATATATATATATATATATATATATATATATATATTACTTTTCGACCTCTTCTTAAAAGGTGGAATGACGCACAATGGCGTAAGAAAATGCACGCACTGAAAGTGTGTGAGCGGTACTGTGCCATGCACACTCAGTCTCACACAACCGCAAGAGCCAGCTCGCACAGGCTCGCAGGTCGAGACGAATAAAAATGATGATACAAAAACAAGTATTTCCCTTTCCTTTTGATACATGTAGGTATTTTTTTCTTGTGTTTTACTAATAAAAAACCTCACAGGATCTCCCTGCAGCTCGGCATCCAACAAGCCAACCAACAATAATTATATCAAAGGAAAAAGAAACGGAAATGCCACCAAAGAACACCCCGACCTCCTCAGCTTACTGTCCCTCCCACGCCTCCCTCCTTTCTCTCTCTCTCTCTCTCTAGTCATCTAAACATCTAAGTGAAGTTATAAATCAAAGACCGAAGTCACCGCAGCGGTTGCGATGAAGGCAGAGGCAAAATCATCTCTCTATTGCCGCCTCCACGATTATTGCCTTTTTTTTAGTTCCAGTCGCTCTTGCCCTGCTATTGGCGCACATTTTTGCGTGCGGTTGGTGGGTCCCCCTCCCACCTAGATCTCTCGTCCTCACACCCGCCCCCTTGGGAGGGCCTTCAACTTCGCCTGAATCTGCGCGGAGAGCGTCGCCAAGTCGGGCGCCCGACGCTCTAGCGATCGTTCTACGTGTGGCAGCGGTGGCTGCGCGGCGTCCTTATCCGCCTCCGCATCCTGCGACTTCGCAGCAAAAACGACTGACGCGCCCAACTTACCCATCAGAGTGTCCTCCTCGTCCTCCTCGCTTCCGCCCTCCTCGTCTTCATCCCGAGTACCCTGTGAGGCGGAGCCAGAGGAGTAACTACTGCTGTCGGTGTCGTCGTCATTCTGCTCTCCGCCCCGAGCGGGGCCCTCGGAGTCAAGGACGCGTATCAACATTTGTCGTAGCTCCAAGATGGAGCTTTGCTGCTGCGCCACCTCCGCGCTGTAGCGCTCCGTCTCCGCCATCATCCGTCGCCGCTCCTCTGCCCATGCCGCTTCTATCTCGCGTCTCTCACGGCGCAACTGCTCTAGCTGTTTCTCAAGCGATGTCTTCCCCTCAAACAACAAGTCTATTTGACGTCCCTGACGCAGTAGATCACCAAAGAGGGCGGTGTTTTTTGCGTAAGCTGCCTTGAGAAGGGCGTCAAGCTGTGACACATGAACTCTGTCTCCCTCTCCCCTCATAGACGTAATATCCTTCAGCAAGCTCTCAAGACCAGTCATCTTCGTCTCCTGCTTCTCGATAAGAAGAGTGTATTTGTCTTCATACTCACGTAACTGTCTTTGATACTGCTCCCGGGCGCTCTTTTCCTGCCTCGTCTCCTCGAGGGCACGGTTCTGAATGTCCATGACACGTGTTCTGTTTTCGGCCACATCTCGTTTGAACTGACGAATAAATCGTTTATTTTCCTCATTCCGTGTGGAAAGAGCAACAACATCCATAATTTTCTTCTGCAGTTCTTGGTGCGTTTCACTCTGTCTCTGTGCCATGTCTTCATAAAGAGCCTTTTGATGTTCATACATCTTTTCGTAACGATTACGCTCCCGCTGAAGCTTTTCATACTCGGCAAGTGGAACCAAGCGTTCCGGTTGTAGGCTTGCCCCTAAACTTTGGCCCACTGAAGCGGACTTGGCGCAATGTGTATGTTGATAGTGATGACGCTGGTTCGGATGGTTGTGTGGCTGTCGCTTATCACAGGAATTCGGTGTATGCGAGGAGTTACGCCTTGGCGCCGCGGACAAGGACAACGAGCGTCGTGGCATAGGTGACTTTGAAAGAGACAACCGAGTGACGCCCGTGTTTGTCAAGTCAGAAAGAGGAACGTATCGATCGGACTTTGCGCCACAGCTGTTTCCAATGCTACTGTTGTCATACTCAGTAATGTCAACAGTGCGACCGCCATTTGTGTGTAGTCGCTGCGGAGAGAGAATAGCCACCACCGATGGGGCAGAGCTGATACATCGGGCGGTAGGCTCGTCCATGGAATCCTCTAAATAAATGGCGGTGTCATCCGTGGAAGTGCCAAAGTGACGTGGGTCACCGCTCTCATCCTTGCGGGCAACGGAGAGCGTGACCATCTCCGTACGCAGGCGCCTTCCTCACCCTCCCAAAAGCAACGGCAGAACCGAAAAGAAAAAAAAAAGTAAAAAAAAACAAAAAGTAAAACACCAAAAACAGCAACTTCCCGCACACACTCACACACAGCTGCAGCAGTTCCGTTCAATATTTCTTTTGTTCAAGCGTCATTACAAAAGCCGACAAGACCGTTTTGTGATGTGCCGCTTACTGGGTAAATGATGAACTTCATCCCCGTCATTTATCGTCAAAGCTTCTCGAGAGGGAGTGGGTGTCAGCCCTTTCATGTACGCTGGCTGGTTCTGAAGCCACAACAACATGGCGGTGTGGAACACGTCTCGAACTCCGAAGCCTGTCTTGGCACTGCATACCACTAACGCATCAGCGTTAATGCCCTGCTGCACAGTGTGCGCCAGCTCCCACGTTACCGTTCCCTCAGTGATGCCGCGCCTGTCCGCCTCGACCCTCAGGTCAAACTTGGTGCCACACAGAACTACACTGAATGGTCTGCAGTGGTTGCCATTTCTCAGAAATGCCGCTGCCTGCTGCACTCGACGAAGTTCGCGGTACCAACGCATCTGCACGTTTGTAAGGCTGTGTGGGTTATCCCACGCAAAGCACAAAATAAAAACTGAAACATCACACTGCAGTAGCGACGACAGGGCCTTTGGCTCACAGACACCTGCGTGTTCATCACCGTCCCCAGCTCCATCAACAGGTGCCACACCGTTGAGGTAGCACATGCGACGACGCTCATCGAAGTCCTCCCACCCGACGATATCCCAGAGAGCTAACCTCACGGCTAGCGGACCGTCTGCCCCGCTATCTCTGTCATTGATGGGAAGAAGCAACTCATAGTTCTCTACGGCGGCCCTGTGGTAGTCCCGATGCCTTGCCAAGTACTCGAGTCCATTCGCAAAACTGTATTGTAGGCATGTCTTTCCGACCTTGCTGTCCCCAAGCAGGACCACCTTGCAGTACAGCGGCTCCATTGCACGTGAGCGACAGGGGCGACGTTAAGAGGCAATCACTAAATAATAGCACGATACAACTCACACAGAAATATATGAAGCCAGCGGCGAGACATCACTCTGCGAGTGAAAATGGGGAAGAAGAGAGAGAGAGTGGGAAAGAAAAGGACCTGGATGCGCCGCGCCTCGCTTTCCTCCTCCGACACCACAAAATAAAATAAAAAATTTGTAATGACAGGAACAAATACACAACGAAACCCCAAGGTGAATAGCAGGTGAAACACGGATTCGATACAAAAATAATAATAATAATAATTTTGGAAGGTCCTTGAAGCGCCAGAGACAACTGGTAAATGCAAATAAACAAACAGAAAAAACAACCTCATTTTTTTTTTTCATTTTGTGTGTGTGGTTGTTGTTGGTGTTGCCTCTGCTTCGTTCACGAAGGGTTAATAATCACCAGTTTGTCCACTCTGGATTGCGTTCGAGCTGCTCCATGTAATGCAGCACGCGGTCTGTGATCTCTGACTCATCGTAGCGATTCCCAAAAAAGTCTACAAATCGCCCCTTCGGATCAAAGAGGAAAATGGCGATGCTGTGGTCAATCAGGTAGTCGTTTGTCTCCACCGCCTCGTCACTAGGTAGAGAGTAGTAGATGCGATACGACTTGCAAGCATCATTTACTTGTTTAGGCGTTCCCACAAGCCCAATAAAGTCCGGATGAAAGGCAGAAAGGTATTCTTCAATGGCCTCCAGCGAGTCCCGCCGCGGGTCGCAGGAAACGAAGAGAGGGAGAATACGATCGTTGGGGCGCCGTGCCCGCACGGCGTCCACCACTTTCGACATGCGATTTAACTCCACTGGGCAGATCTCCGGGCAGTGCGTGAAGCCAAAGTAAAAAAAATGTCCACGAACCCAAAAACTCTGCTTGCGTGACGGGTTCTCCATCAGTTTTCACGAGAACAAAGGGGCCTCCAAGTGCCGGCCGACCCCGCGTCTCAACGTTTACCCGCGCACTACCCTCGGAGCCAAAGTACCGCTTATTTGCCTGCCTCGAGCCATACCAAAGAGTGCCAGCGCACAGGAGTCCAACGCCCATGAGCATCGAGTACTTTCTCAACGCCGCCTTGTCCTTTTCAAGCTCCTCTTGCTCGGCGTCAGCGGCCGCCCCGGACTGAGTCCGAAAAGGGCGCAGCATGCATGTCATAGTCAACGCTACCGGCGGGCGGTGAAGGAGACGGCCAGACAAAAGCTCCAGTGCACGTCGCATTCTTTGACGCAGTACTACTACAGTTAAGGAAAATATTATATATTATACCTTTTCGGAAGAAAACAAATGCAAAAAAAAAAAGAATGACTTAAGCAACGGTCACAAAACACAACTAAACCAATAAAAAATTCATACTGCTTTCATATGATCTTGACGATCGTGAAGGTGTCTCCTGTCACAAACAAATTTAAAAAAAAAAACGGACGTGGCAAATGGAACAGAGAAATGCAGCTCTCTCACTCATACCTCATAGAATGATATAACTGCAGCGGCCTCTTGCCAACACACCAGAAGTACAGGTATAACACCACTTCATATATATATACACATATATAAAGAGAAAAAAAGAATGTACGGATAGGTGAAAAGATGTAGGAAACAAAAATATTTAGTCATCCTTTTCGATCCATGGTGAAGTGTTAACCTCCCCCTCTGTTTCTTGTACTGTGTTGGGGGAAACAGCTAGCAAACGCGGCGCCAACGACACCTCAGTGCCAAACAATGAGGCCTCCCTTTCGAGTGATTCTGCTTGAGACTCATCAGCCGAACGCTCCTGAATCGGAAGTGGTAAACTGGTGCCGCTGGCGGTCGAAGATGGGCGCCCCACAATGGCCTTAAGTCTGTTTTGATTAACTTTTATTAGTGTGGTTGGCCGTGGCGCAATAGTCCCTGCTCTCGCCTTCGCAAGCTCATCCTGCATCTTATCCAGCCGTTTTATTCGTGCCTCCTTTATGACACGGAGCCTCTCCTCCACAGAAAGCAAATGGTAGCGAGGGATGCCATCACTGCTTCCACATTGTTCACTGGTAAAACTCCCTTGGTCGTCATGCCAAGTAACGGTTGCAGACAATGGTTTTGCACCACTCATCTCCTCAGTGCTCCTACGCTGCGCATCAGGTTCATCCACACAATCTTCTTCTCTTGGTGTTCGCACCAAACTATCAGCCTCATTTGTCGCATTATCACGCATCACCGGCTTTTTTTTGCTCGCAATGCGCAGTCTAATGCCCTGAGAATTTCTTACCTCACGTCGTCTTACCTCAACCGGCGCGGGATTCAAGGTGTTGGTCGATGTCCACTTAGTATCGAGCTTCTCTTTGGATGTGCATGCACCACCGTGCACGGCTGCTTGCGTAGAGGGCATTCCAGTGACTTCTAACTTTGGTGTGGAACAGTCTTTAGGAAGGGGTTTGGTGCTGTCAAGCGTGGCACTCAAATCGGGAAAGAGTTGCGTCACCGGTGCCCCGTCTTCTTCATGACGCCCTGCCATCAGCGATGCATCCCCCTTCGTCTTGTGTTTCTTGCTAAAGTCCATTCTCCGCCGCAAACTACTGCCCCCAGCCCTTCAAAAAGGGTTACACACTGTCAAATTGACTAAGTGTAAGACAAGACAGGGAACGGCGCATATAAAAAATGATAACATAACATGGCTACAGATTATCGTGTAGGGCATACTACAACCCTGCTCTGTTAGTTCCATCCTCTCTTTCTTTCTTTCTTTCTTCTTGTTTTCCCTCCCCTCCTGCACTCCCGCACACACCTCACTGATAGTGTGAACTACGCCGCAGCCTTTTCGCCGCCTCAACCATTTCCGGTCTGATTTCCACCGACTTAAACCGCTGACGACGCTCCTCACGTGACAAGTCAGAGACTCACTTATTATCGGCGTTCAGCATCAACCCGGAGGTCTCTTCTCGATACGCATACCCCTTTGGGCTATCATGCACCGCCTGCGGTGCGTTCAATACATACTCTAGTGCAAAGTCACGTTTGTAGTACCGTTGACGATTAAGCTTGATATTGTCCAAAATCTCATTGACCCCGTTTGTTTGTGCGTGATTGACCAACACAACGGTCGAGCACGCCAGAAAAACAATGGTGCCGCGCCACTCCGCGTCCAGAGGACGCTAAAAAAAAACCTGCTCGTCGTACCGCGCAAGCAACTCCACGTCTTCAGCGCCCAGCCACTAAGTCCTGAGCCGGGTAAAGGGGTTGATGCACTTCCTCCGTTCTGTAAACGCCGTTCTTGACATGTTATGCAGAAATAAAAAGGATGCGGCCTACAAGGCCAATAAGATTTTTTTAAAAAAGAGTGGTATTCCAGTCCAAGATGAGAAAAGAAGGATGGTGATGGTCGCTGCTGGCAGCATCTCTCACCATATTCTCCAAACTCTATCAGAAGCCATTTTATGCGGGGACTCATTTGTAGGTGGTATAGTACTGCTCCTGCTTTGACTTCCCCTTGGTCACGTGCGGGTGGCACAACATTAATACTACGCAAAAACGACGCGAATCTCTCATTCAAACACTCAACACAAAGTTTATCCTCACCTTACGCCCACCTCTTAAACGGGCCGCAGTATAGTCAAAAGGAAATGTACAAAAAAAAACAATATATGTATATATATATATATATTAAAAGTAAATATGGGACCACAAATAACGCTGAAGCCAAAAAGAAAAACAAGTCCCTCCCTCTCTAATAAAGCAGAAACAAACAAAACAAAAAAAATCAACCACAAACTAAGAACAATAAATCAATTAAAACGTGTTTTCAACAGATTTGAAAAACAAAACAAAAAAAAAGTGAAGAGGATAAGAAGAGAGAAAAGGAAAAGGATCATTGTAATGCATAGTCCGTTTTGTTCCACTATTTTCTTTTTTTGTTCGTATTTCTTATTTTGGCGTTGCCCTGAACTCACTCAAAGTTAGTGCCTTCCTTTTTTACTACCAACCCGTAATTGCTATAGTTTCTTCCTACCATGTCTTTTTGTTGTTGCTGGTCGTTGCTATCTTTCTTCCCTTGTTTGTTTCAACGTGATTCACACCCATGTGACCCCTCCTGATCGTCATGTTCCTTCCTCACCCCGCACTCTCTAAACTCCTTTACAGCTTACTTCCAGGCTTCTTCTGTTCACTCTGCCGAAATGAGAGACACAAGTTCACTTCCTGCCTACTACCCATGTACACAGCCACACGTTGGTGGAGTTTCTTCGGCTCCACATCCAGGACACGACCCTTACCTGTAGAGGCCTTACCTCCAGCCTGCTCCACAAGCATTGCCATTGGGGCAGCCTCATAGAAGAGCCGTAACTTCCCTTCTGGCTGTTTGCGATCACCAGGATAGCAGAAAATACCACCATAAAGCAGTGTCCGATGGATGTCAGCAACCATTGAACCGATATAACGTAAAGAATACAAATCCTTTGATTCTGATTTAATATAATGCATATACTTCTGAAGCCATGGCTCCCAGTTGCGAAAGTTTCCTTCATTCACACTGTAAATAGTACGGGACGCTGGAAGTGTGATGTGCGGATGCGTGTGAATGAACTCGCCAATAGTCGGGTCCAACGTGAATCCATCCACCCCGTGCCCCGTCGTTATTACAAGATTTGTGGATGTTCCGTACATGGCGTAACCTGCTGATACAAGGCATTTTCCCGACAAGTGCTTTAGTACTGCACTGGCCTCTTCCATGGTCGTGACTTTCGTATTCACAGGCACACGCCAGATACCCCAGATGGAGCCAACGGATATGTTTGCATCAATGTTGCTGCTCCCATCCAGTGGATCAAAAAACACAATATAATTTCCTTGATGATCCCCTTCAACCAACACAAGAGTCTCTTCTTCCTCACTACCAAGAAAAGCAACCCCCGTTGAGGACAACAAATACGCCTTAAATGCATTGTTTGCTATCACATCAAGCCTCGCCTGCGTATCTCCAGATGCGTTGGAAGTGTTATCGGTAAGGTATCCAAAGAGACCCTGCATTCCGGCTGAACGGATGTACTTCTCAATCACCTTTACCGCGGTCTGAATAGCCGTCATAAGGAGCGTGAACTCGCCTCGACTACTGGGGGGCTGACTGCGCATAAGAAATTGTACCAGCGTTGCCGGAATATTGATTCGCGACTCCATTATAAGACGTTTGCACAGGCAAAACCCTAGGCAATAAAAAAAAAATCAAACAAACAAAAAAAAGACAAACAACAATGAATATATACATTATATATATATATACATTATATATATATATATATATATATATATATATAC